TTTTCTTGCCTGGAAATAAGCTTTCAATCACAATGAGAACATGTGCTCTAGATGCCTAATAGATGATTTGACATGAATAATGGAGCAATACTACTCTGGGGAGGGTATTGGTGAATGGTAACTTGGTGGTTTACCTGCATTAGTCCATCTAATCTTGACCGTGATGCACTGAGACAGGTACTATTATGATCTCTATTCTGGAGATGAGGAGGTGAGGTTAAAGAACCCGCCCAGCTTAAGTAGCATACCCAACAGCCCAACAAGGGTGAAATTTCCCCTATCAGAGGTGTTTCATGGAGACTGAGCATGTCACTAAAAAGCAATGTGATGACAGATTGAAATATGGATCTCCCTCCCATGCCCGCTTCCCTCATGCTACTGAGCTACTGTTACTCCATAAGATTGAAGCACGTAATTCCTGTTTCTGGATATGTGCAACTCACCTTCTTCAAATCATGATAAATGCTTCCCTGTCCCCGTCCCCTCAAGAGCACCTCATAATTCCCATCCCTATTAAAAGATAACACTCCTTTCCCCTAGGATCAGGAAAAGGTTTTTCCCTTAGAATTACCCAGGCATTAAGAAACATGATATAGACATTTTTTGGTGAAAGTAACTATAATCAGCCAAATAGTTACTAACTGATCAAGTATCGTTACAAGTGGAATAACTGACCTTGTATGAGATTTTCTTATATTTGTCCTCCCCCCACCAATCTGTCCAGTTTTATTTAAAAAAAAATCTTTTTGTTGCTGTTGTTGTTGGGCCACATCTGGCAATCAGGAATCACTTTTGGCTGTGCTCAGGGGAACAGATGGGATGCCATGGATCAAACTTGGGTCAACTGAGTACAAAGAAAGTGCCTTACCAGCTGTGCTTTCTCTCTTCCTCTTTATCAAAAAAGTTTTAAATTCTTTAAAATGATTATTATAGAGGTAACATGGGTTCCTGTTCTTGTTATATTACAGTAACAGCGTTATTAAAAACATTATACAGTGCTGTTCATGTTTTTATTGAATTTTCTCTCCTGGGGGCTTTTGGGCCATACTTGGTTATGCCCAGGGCTTACTCCTGGCTCAATGCTCTGGGAGCACTCTTAGTAATACTCGTGGGACCATATGTTGTGCCCGGGGATTCAACCTGGTTTGTCTGCATGAAAGGTGAGAACTGTACTCTACCTCCCCAGGCCTAGATTACAGTTCTTTAATTCCTCCCTTAAGAATTTAAGAATGAAGGAGGGTCCCTTTCTCGCCACATTCGCACCAGCACTGGTTGCTTTTGTTCTTGTGGATGTGGGCCAGTCTCTGTGGTGTGAAATGATATCTCATTGTTGTTTTGATCTGCATCTCTCTGATGATTAGTGATGTAGAGCATTTTCTCATGTGCCTTTTTGCCATTCGGATTTCTTCTTTGCGAAAGTTTCTATTCATTTCCTCGCCCCATTTTTTGATGGGGTTGGGTGATTTCTTCTTGTGTAGTTTAACCAGTCACTGCTGGTGGGAATGCAGGCTGGTCCAACCCTTTTGGAAAACAGTATGGACGATTCTCAAAAAATTAGAATTCGATCTCCCATTTGACCCAGCTATAGCACTCCTGGGAATATATCCCAGAGAGGCAAAAATGTATAGTCGAAGTGACATCTGCAATTGTTTGTTCATTGCAGCACTCTTTACAATAGCCAAAATCTGGAAAAAACCTGAGTGCCCGAGAACAGATGACTGGTTAAAGAAGCTTTGGTACATTTACACAATGGAGTACTATGTAGCTGTTAGAAAAGATGAAGTTATGAAATTTACATACAAGTGGTACTACATGGAAAGTATCATGTTAAGCGAAATGAGTCAGAAAGAGTGGGATAGTCACAGAAAGATTGCATTCATCTGGGGAACATAAAACAACAAAACGGGAGACTAACACCCAGGAAGGGCTCAGATTAGTACCAGGAATTTTGCTCCATGACTTGAAGGCCAGCCACATGTGCTAGGTGAGAAGGAAGCTCAGATAGAGAAGAGAGCACCAAATAAAGGGTGTTGTGAAGACCCTCCCAGGGTAGGAGAGACATGCTAAAAGTGGTCTATAGACCAAACATGACTGCCACTCAATGCCTCTCTGGCAAAATACAGTACCCAAAAGAAGAGAGAGAGAACAGGGAGGAATGCCCTGCCACAGCAGCAGGGTGGGACGGGGGGGTGGGGGGGAGGATGGGGGGTGGGAGGGATGCTAGGACCCGTGGTGGGGGAGGATGGGCACTGGTGGAGGGATGGGTACTTGATCATTGTATAACTGAAACCCAAGCACAAAAATTTATAAGTCTATAAGTGTACTTCATGGTGTTTCACTAATAAAAAAAATGATAAAAAAATAAATAAAAAATAAAACAATGTCATCAGCAAAGCGGGAAAAAAAATTAAAAAAAATAAAAATATTTGAGTAAAATAAATAAATAAATAAATAACAAAAAAAAATAAAAAAATAAAACTTCATTGTTTTTATTTAAAAAAAAAGTATTTAAGAATGGGCCTCGAGGGTGATTGTTATGCACATTGTTGACCTGGGTTTGAACTGTGGTACTCCCTATTGTCTTCAGAGCACTGCCAGGAATGATCTCTGAGCACAGAGACAGAAGCACAGCTAAGTGTGGCCAAAAATCAAAAACAAACAAACAATGAGATGAAATCTACACAAACACTTGGAATCCAAACACACTTCAGCACTTCTTGTTGTGTTTGAAAGACAGCTTGTTTCCAGGCAAGAAAAGATTTCAGGAATTTCACCCAGAAAGTCACTACCTTGAGGGCCCATGAGGGCCACAGAGAAGAACATAAAGAACTATTTTCTTAATGAATTCAGGTATTTTCACTCTATTTTTTCCTGGTATCTTCACTCTTTGTTAAGTCATCTTAAGCTACACTGGGAACAGTTCCTTATTATTAATTTGATTAGTGGAAATCTTTGATATTCTAGCTCAAATCTAAAAATATATTATTTTCTTTTAGAAAGTTTTTTTTAATATACAAATAAAATCTGTAAACTAGACAAAGAAAAGTAATTTTGTTGACACAACCATCTTTATCCAAAGAATACATTTTGTGCTTTTGGTAGCCTTTAGTGTAAGATTTCTTAAACAATCTCCACTATCATGATGTGATATCAGCCTTCCTCCCCCCTTCCTCTTACCCAGTGTGTTCAAGGCTTACTTCTGGCTCTGTGCTCAGGTAGCACTCTTGGTGGGACTTAGGGAACCATATGCAGTGCCAAAGATTGAACCATGCTCAGTTGTGTACAAGGCATACAACCTAAACCCTGTAGTATCTCTCTGGTCACTCATGATCCTTCTCTATGCAAGACACTTTTATGTGATCTTGAAGTATACAGATATCCATAGGTATATAAATGTAGAACTGTTCTCCCGTTGTTCATCGATTTGCTCGAGTGGGCACCGGTAACATCTCCACTGTGAGACTTGTTGTTACATATCAAATAGGTATAAAAATCAAGCATTTACTGCTAACAGAAAAAATTACTATTTTTTTGTGGGGGGGAAGCACAGCCAGGGCTTAATTCTGATTCTGTGCTCAAGGATTATTCTTGACTCTACTCAGGGGACTGTATGGGGTTCCAGGGATTGAACCTAGATTAACTGTGTACAATGCAAATAGCCTACCCACTGTACTATTGTTTTGGCCCCAGAAAAAAAAAAGTATTTTAAAACAAAATTTAAAAGCCTTCCACAATCTCCCAGTTATATGATTCTCTAGGGGCTGTGATCCAGTTTAAGGAGCGAAGACCCAATGAACGCACTTCGTAGACCACCTGCTCTATGAAGGTGGGCTGTGCTTTTGATCTATAGATAAGGCACTAAAATGCTAACATATGTTCTAGCCTATGCAACAGGTTTTGAAGCAAGAGCACTGAATAAAGACGTAAGATTTACTAAAATGGAAAATGCTTGACATCTACAATGCTGAGCTACTCAACTGCAAGCCAATTTCTTATTACAGTAGGGTTTCCCAAAGTACGTGATTCTGCCACTTCTCCACAGAAGAGATCTAGAAGTGTTGGGTGCAACTGGGAGACACTGTCTGTTGGTCTGCTTAAAGAAGACAGATCTCCACTGGGTGCTTAGTAATTATTTTCTGTAAATGTGGCAGTAGGCTAAGTTTGGGAATTCTGTATTAGCATGTCAATGACCTCTTAGTGAAAAGGAAAAATCTGTACTAATATCTGGACTTCTTGGCAATTTTTTTCATGGAAGCAGTTTTGTAACACAAGGTATGTTGCTCAGTCCTCTTAGATAGACATGCCCTTAAAATATATGATATGGAGAAAGCTGCCCAAATAAGCATATCACCTGGGTGGTAGGTAGGCAGTATCTGTACATAATATCAGAATATCTGAAATAAATATTATTACCCTTTTTTGATGGGTAATAAATAATAAGGGCACTAAACATACCACTAGGAATATATGCTCCCTTCTTCATATCCCATTATGCAAATAGTGCCTGATTCCAGTTTTTTTGTTTTACAGTTGACTGCCATTGTACTACTTGAGTTCCACAAGTAATACTCAAATACCATCCACAGAAATGGTGTCCCAGTTTGTGCTTGAACTCAAGGTTATTTAATTCATGGTTTACTCACTTTCTAGAAATCTCCTGTTTCAAAATCCACTTACAATATCTACTTTCTGCACCAATAACCAGGAGCAGTAGAAAGTCTTTCTTTCTCTTCTCTAGAATTTTCTTTAGAATCCCCTAAGCCCTCACCCCGATTCCCACACTTTGACACTGGACACTCAAATTCCACATTGTCAGTTATGATCACTTAGGCTTGCTCAGTAGCAGAGTTCACACAGACCTGGCATGTATCAGTTCTGTTAAAATAAACCCACACCAGAAATGTCTTCGGGAAGATGCCATTTCACGGGGAGGGTGTGGAAAAGGCCAACGGGTGGTGATAGGAAAGGGGGTGGAGTATTTTTGGTACCGCATACTTTACCAGTTATGTCATGCTGCTTGAATGCCTCACTGTAGATCTGATACTGATTCGGACAATGTTTCTTCAACCACTTGCAGACATCCTGCTGCGTCCACAGAGCCACTGGCTTTGACAGCTTCACCGCAGCAGACTATAAATAAAGAAGGAAAAGGTTTGTTAACGTCAGTCCCAAACCTACAAAGGCATTTCTGTTAGAATTCCTAGCAAGTGGTTGATTCTACAGGCAGAATTCTCTTCGATAAATACCTGGCTCTGGTTCTCATCCTAACCTCCAGAAGCCTTTTCCCTGTCTTTGACAAGTGGAAAGAACAATCAAGAAGCCCAGGGAAACCAGACCTATTCTCCAGCTCTATCTGCTGGGAAAAATCCACAGGAAGAAGTATTTTCAAGTAACAAAGGCAATTGGGTGGCTCAACAATTGATTGCAATATGGGGGGATCAAAGAGTGACCGCAAGGTGCCTTTCTCTGTGTTTTCAGAAAGTGTCTCAAACTCTCTAGGTCACTCAGTGACAGCATAGGGAACCATGAGGACTAGATTTTAAAAATAAGTGCCTGTCACAAAGGCAGGCTATGGGGTGGGTGAGAAACCAGAAACATTGTTGGAGGGAAGCTGACAGGGGTGACAAGATTGGTGCTGGAACACTGTTTTCCTGAAATTCAAACATGAGTAACTTTGTAAATCATGGTGACTTAATTAAAACCAAAATCAAAGCTGTAGGGGCCTGAGGGTGCTAAGATTGAGTTTAGAACTGGCTGTTGCAGGACCGAGGTAGATGTCTGGAGTAGTTGGCAGAGGGGGTCGCTGGGTTTAGGGGAATGTTCTAAAGTTCAGGAATTAGCCATGTCATAATGAGGAAGCTAAATGTCATTTCACCAGTGCATGGGAAATGGTAACCAGACACTGGGTTAACTTGACCTTATGGAGATGTCAACTAACCAAGGTTTCTCATTGCTCACTGCACCTTCCAGAAAGGTGTTTCTGATACACAAAAACAGGTATAGAGGATCCAGGATTAGAAAAGTGGCATGGAAAAATGCATTTGTTTATTAACACTGATCAATTAGGCCAGATCATGGACCATGGGGTCCCTCATGGACCACAGAACTTAGTTTAAGTTTAACAAAAGTCAATATGCCAATAATTTATGTTAATTTATATTAGAATTTACAAATAAAGTCTAGGATACTGGTAGGTTTTTTGTTTTTTTCCTTTTTGGGTCACATTCAGCAATGCTCAGGGGTTACTCCTGGCTCTGCACTCAGGAATTAGTCCTGGCAGTGCTTGGGGGACCACATGGGATGCTGGGAACTGAACCTGGGTCAGCTGCATGCAAGGCAAATGCCCTACCCGCTGTGCTATTGCTCCAGCTCCATATACTGGTAGTTCTTTAAGAGATCTGGCCCAAAATAGTAATGAATTTCTCACCTAAATAATCTTCACTTCTCTTTTGGTCTTTCCGATTATGGAAACATGAAAAGACCAAATTTGCTCAATTATTTGACTCCTAATGCTCCCAATATCTTTTTTGTTGTTACTTTTAAAAATAAAACTGGTATATTCAGCTTCAGAAATTTCATTGAAAAAAACAATATATCTGGCATATATTAATGGCTATATTACTTTTATTATGTTTAAGGTTACCTTTATCTCATGGCATATAAATCATAGCAAAAACTATTTTTATGTTCTGTAGTGATATCTGGTTTGTTTGTTTTTAAAACAAATTGAAGAGGGAAAAAGTAGGCCAATCTTATAAAAATGTAAAAAAAAAACTTTTAGTGTAGAATAGTGAAAGTTACATGACAGTGATTTTGTTTAATAGTCCTCAGATCTTAACTTCATATTGTGGGGGCCTTTCAAGCACTGCTCAGGAGATCCAAGGGTCCAAACAGTAATTTTTTCTTTGTTTCATTTTGGGGGAGTCACACTTGTCAATTCTCAAGAGTTACTTCTGGTTCTGCACTTAGGAATCACTCCTGGTGAGCTGAGGGGACCATATGGGATGCCAAGGATTGAACCTGGGTTAGTCACATACAAGGAAAGTGCTTGACCTGCTGTACTGACTCCCCGGTCCCTCAACAGTAATTCTCATCCAACCAGGATGGTGGTTCAATGCAGAGACCAGAGGATATGGTGCTACTCAGGGCCTATGGCGCAAGGGATACCTGGGATTCCCAGAAGAACTGGGGGACTTCAAGGCCACACACAGAGGTTCTCAGCATCCTCCAGAGCTATACCCCATTATTCTCAGGCAACCATATGGTGTTAAGAATCAAACCCGGGTCAGAAACTTACTAGCCATGTGCCTGAACTACTGTACTATGCCCCAAAGCCTCAGATGTTATTTTTTAAATAATTTTTACTGGGTCCAGAGCAATAGTACAGCAGGTAGGGCATATGCCTTGCACGTGGCCAACCTGGGTTCAATCCCTGGCATCCCATATGGTCCCCCAAGCACTGCCAGAAGTAATTCCTGAGTGCAGAACCAGGAGTAACCCCTGAGCATTGCTGGGTGTGACCCAAAAAAGAAAAAAAAAGAATTCATTGAGGTTACATTGGTTTAGAGTATGGCAGAAAGTTCAGATCAAGATTAGTATGATTCCTCATCTATTCATCCTGATCACCAGCAAAATTATAGTTTGGGGGGCTGAAGAGATAATATAGGAGTTAAGGTGCTTGCCTTGCATGAGGCCAACCCTGGTTTGTTTTCTAGCACCGCGTATAGTCCCACAAGCAGAGAGCCAGGAGCAAGACCTGAGCATGTCTGGGTGCAGCTCAAGTCCTTCAATGTCCCTCCCTCCACCCCCAAAAAATGATTAGGCAGGAGAGCTCACATAGATGGTAAGGCACTTGCCTTGTACACAGCTGACCAGAGTTAGGTACCCAGCACCACATATTGTCCTGAGGCCTGCTAGGATCCCTGAGTGCATAGCCAGGGGTAAGTCCTCAGAACAGTCATTTGTGGCCCCCACAAAGTATAGTTTTTACTACCATATATTTAACTCCTTTATACCTGTTTTACTCCCTATCTGCTTCCCCTCTTTTGATCACCAACATATTTTCTAAATATGAGTAACAATCTTGTTTATCCATTTCCTTTGTTTCTATTTATTTTATGAGTGACATTAATAGCATTTGTCTTTGATTTATTTCAAAAAGTGTAATACTCTCTGGGTCTATTGCTATGTTGTTAAAAACTGAGATATTTCCATTTTTATAGCCCAGTAGTATTCCATTGCCCATGCATGCATCTAGCATTTAAAAAATCTAATCAGTTGCAACTGGACACTTGGTAGTTTCTTTATCAAAGGATATTTTTACATTATTATATTATTGTTATATATTATTTTATTATTATTTTATTATTATTATTATTATTATTATTATTATTATTTTGGGTCACACCCGGCAATGCTCAGGGGTCACTCCTGGATCTGCACTCAGGAATTACTCCTGGTGGTGCTCAGGGGACCATATGGGATGCTGGGAATCGAACCTGCGTTGGCCGCGTGCAAGGCAAATGCCCTACCTGTTGTGCTATCACTCCAGCCCCAGTACAGTATTATATTTTATAGTATTATTCCAAGTAGTATTCCATTACCCATAAGGCGTTTGCCTTGCACGCAGCCAACCTGGTTGGCCCAGGTTCAATTCCTCCGCCCCTCTTGGAGAGCCCGGCAAGCTACTGAGAGTATCTCGCCCTCACGGCAAAGCCTGGCAAGCTCCCTGTGGTGTATTCGATATGCCAAACACAGTAACAACAAGTCTCACAATGGAGACTTTACTGGGCCCGCTGGAGCAAATGCATACATCTAGCACTTAAAAAATCTAATCACCTGCAACTGGACACTTGGTGGTTTCTTTATCAAAGGATTTTTTTATTACTTTATTTCCAAATGTATGATTTAGTCATCCCTTTAAATTAATTACAAAGAAACATTCTCATTTTACCTCTTGTGTAATATTTTCTTTCACTTTTACTGAGACACTACATGTTTTACATGGTTTTACATATGCAGAAATGTCCTATTTTCACTCACTATGACTGGTATTTCTTCACTATTTTTAATACTGAGGTTTCCTATCCTTTGTTTTGGCAGAATTTCTGATGTTTTGGCCATAATGGCGTACAGAATTCACTTCTGGGGCTAGGTTATAAGAGACACATCTTTTGCCTAGCTCAGTCTCTCTGGTAATCAAATTGGAATCTAGTCACTATGCTGTTAGGAATCTACACCCCATGAAGATACCATGTGTAAAAATGTTTGCCAGTTTCCTAATAAAGGCCTTGACTTATAGCACCACTAACCACTAACAAATGAATATAAACCAGCTTCAGATTTTTTTTAGTCATTGGATCCTGGCTTTTTCAGATGAGTCCTCCACATTAGACAAAGAGACAAGCCATTCTTGTTGTATTCTAAGGTCCTGGTCAGCATCTTGTTCTTGGTCAGCATCTTGCATCAGAGCTTTGGTAGAATTTAGCCTGCAATCCTCAGTAACTAGAGCAATGCTCTAAATGAGTGTTCAGAATAGGAACTATCATAATTATGGAAGCTTCATACCACCACAAAGAATAAGTGAATGAACGAAATGAATTCTCATTGAGTCTTCTCACACTATGCCCTTGCTATTAAGTCTAGAATGAATTGCAAGTCTAGCCCATGCTGTTCTAGTCCATGGTAGCACTGTAGTACTGTCCTCCCACTGTTCATCGATTTGCTGAAGCGGGCGGGCACCAGTAACGTCTCTATTGTAAGACTTGTTGTTACTGTTTTTGGCATATCGAATACACTACGGGGAGTTTGCCAGTCTCTGTCATGCGGGCAGGATACTCTCGGTAGCTTATTGGACTCTCCAAGAAGGATGGAGGAATCAAACCCAGGTTGGTCACGTGCAAGGCAAATGCCCTACCAACTGTGCTATCACTTCAGTCTTCCAGTTATTTCCCTCTAACTAATGAGTGAAAACATAGGCACTGCCTCTCAGTTTTCATGGAAATCAATAAATGTTTTGTTTAGTTGTATTTCTTTTGGCATTTGCTACATCTTTTCTTTTTCATGACTTGGAAATTAGAATTTTTGCTCTTTTAGCTAGAAATACATTTACCACCACGTTTCACAAGTCA